TTCCCCATCTTTGTGTATTGGAATTCTTCCCTAATGAAGAACGTTTCCTTCTCAACTACTTTTTGGCTATCCTGAAACTGTGCCCCTAGGAGAGAGCCAGGGTAGATGCCCGACACTAGGCCTGCGACAGCAGATGGGACTCGGGTCCAGGCCCTGCCCCCATGCTGCATAGGACCCCTTGTCCTGTTGCCCTCCGCCCTGCTTTCTCGCTCACGGTGAACTCCGGGCTCTTCATGCACAGTTGGCCCTCCCATCTGTGGGTCCCTCATCCATGGATTCAAGCAGCTGCAGATGGAAGGCACTCATTTTAAACATCGCCTCTTGCTGGGTGTGATGGCACTCGAGACTGAGGTGGAGGACCACGTTCCAGGCAGCCTGGGCGACTCAGTGAGGCCTTGTCTCAAAGTGAAAAATAGAAGGGGCTGGGGATGTGGCTCAAGTGGTAGCGCGCTCACCTGGCATGCGTGCGGCCCGGGTTCGATCCTCAGCACCACATACCAACAAAGATGTTGTGTCCGCCGAGAACTAGAAAATAAATATTAAAAATTCTCTCTCTCTCTCTCTCCCTCTCTCTCTCCCTCCCTCACTCTCTCTTTATTTTTTTTTTAAAGAGAGAGTGAGAGAGGAGAGGGGGGAGAGAGAGAGAGAGAGAGAGAGAGAGAGAGAGAGAGAGAGAGAGAGTTTTTTTTAATATTTATTTTTTAGTTCTCGGCGGACACAACATCTTTGTTGGTATGTGGTGCTGAGGATCGAACCCGGGCCACACGCATGCCAGGCGAGCGCGCTACCGCTTGAGCCACATCCCCAGCCCCCCTCACTCTCTCTTTAAAAAAAAAAAAAAAAAAAAGTGAAAAATAGAAAGGGCTTGGGGTGTGGCTGTGCCGGGGGCCCTGGGTTCAGTCCCCAGAACTGGGGAAATGTGGCTTCTTTTCTTGTCGGGGTTCCCTAAACACCAGCTTAGCATCTCTGACAGTGTTGACATTGTGGTAGGTGTCCTAAGTCAGCTGGAGACGATTAAAACCTATGGGAGGACGTGCAGGCTCTGCGCAATACTGTGCTATTTTATGTAAGGGATTTGAGCTTCTTCGATTTTGGTATCTGCTGGGTTCCTGGAATCAATCCCCCATAGATACCAAGGGACAGCTGTCCCTATTCAATGTGTCTGTCAGCTGCAGTTATCTTTCTTTTCAATCTTTATTTATTTATTTATTTATAATTTATTTGTGCAGTTATCTTTCTGATGCTCAGTTGATCACATGCTTGGTGTAGGGAGCCCCTTCCCACTGACACTGGCGACCTCTTCCTGTTGAACGTTGCTTTGCTTTCTGGCACAGGACTCTGAAACACACAGGACTCTTTGGCACAGGACTCCCTGACACTCTTCCTGCCCAATCCCCAGTAGTCCACTTCTCAGGAGGCCCTTTTTAAGTGGTGCACAGTTTGAGTGCAGAGAGCACCTGTTGCTGCTGGTTGTTTCCAGCCAAGAGCAGACAGAGCAAAGAAACTTGTACTTTCTTTTTGTTTTGTGGAGCTGGGAATGAACCCATGGTCTTCTTGAACTCAGGGTCTTCCGGTGCTAACCAAGTCCTCTGCCACTGAGCCGTTCCTCAGGTCAGAACACGTGCTTTTGAAAAGAAAAATATAAGTCCACACTGATCTTGACAGTTCACATGTAACATTTACAGTGCTTTTATTTCTCTCTTCCACTAAAAATTTTGGTTGCTAATACTATCAATGTACTCTTTTGCATTATCTCATGAGATACAAAATAGCTTCAAAACAACATGTCATTATTAACTACTAAAGTTGGCGCAGTGGTGCATACCTGTCATCCCAGCAACTTGGGAGGCTGAGGCAGAAGGATTGCAAGCCTCAGCAACTTAGTGAGACCTGTCTCAAAATAAAAAAAAAAGTTAAGTCTGGGGATACATACGTCAGTGGTAAAGTGCCCCTGGATTCAGTCCCCAGTACCACCAATTTTTTTTTTTCCCTAAGAATAAAACTACTGGGCTGGGGATGTGGCTCAAGCGGTAGCGCACTCGCCTGGCATACGTGCGGCCCAGGTTCGATCCTCAACACCACATACAAACAAAGATGTTGTGTCCGCTGAAAACTGAAAAAATAAATATTAAAAATTCTCTCTCTCTCTCTCCCTCTCTCTCTCTCACTCTCTCTTTAAAAAAAAAAAAAAGAATAAAACTACTGAAGCTTTCTTTACTTTTCCTTATAATATATCCCCCATGTGTGCATGCTAGTATGAGCTCTACTACTGAGCTGTTCCTAAAATCTAATTTTTGAACTGAGAAATCATTTCATGCTTCCAAAACAGAGCCACATAAAGACACTCCTGAGAGACCTGCCCTCCTCCTCCCATAGGCCACCCTTTCCAGCAGCTCTTGGGTTCTTGTGGCACTTGGAAATAAAGTAGCGGTGTGTGTGTCCCACCATATCATTCTGTGTATACTTCCCCTCCCCCCCATTCCCCACTTTCAGTGTTTTCTCATCTCCAAGATGGCATGTCAGTGTCAGGAGATCTTCTTATGAATTTGTAGTGGTCCATTGTGTGGCTGGGCCATCATGTGTTCAGTTAGTCTCCTTCCATTGTTTCCAATCTTTTGCCTCCAAAACCATGCCACCATATTTTGAATGTCACTTTCTAATTTACTACTATCTTTGAAACAGACTCTTGCTGGAAACTGTCAAGCGGCTCTTCATTTTACTTGGTATCAGCAATTTGTCAGAGTGCCTGTGTCCTCACAGCCACACCAACAAAAGATGCTGCCAGAATCTTGGATTTTTGTCAACCTGCTTAACTGAGAAATGATATTTCAGTGCAGATTTATTGGGTGTTTCTCTAAGTTTAAGTATCTTTCCAAAGTTTAAAGGCCACTTCTTTGAACACCTTCTGTACATTTTATTTTTCTTCAAATAATTGTTGCCATTTTTCTTGTTGATTTTTTTTTTGTGTGTGTGTGTGTATGTGTGTGTCAGGGATTGACTCAAAAGTGTTTAACCATTGAGGCACATCCCCAGCAATTTTAGAGATTTTTTTGGAGCGGGGACAGGTTCTAAGTTGCTGAGGCTGACTTTGAATTTGTAATACTCCTGCCTCAGCCTCTGGAGCCACTAAGATTATAGGCATGTGCCACTGCATCAGCTTCCTGTTGACTCTCAGGAGGTCTTTGTGTATCAGTGGTGCTAGTTCTTTGTGATATGGCTTGCAGATATTTTTTCTCAATTTGTCAGTTATCTTTTAACTCTGTGTGTGTGTGTGTGTGTGTGTGTGTGTGTGTGTGTAATTTATTTTTTGTGAAGCGAGTTGTATTTCCTCACTCCTTCTCTCCCTCCTCATCTCGCCTACTCCCGCTCCTTCTCACTTGTTGCCATGCTGTTCACACAGCCCGGCTCCTGGATTCAGGTGATCCTCTGCTTCAGCCTCCCAAGTGCCAAGCCTACTCTGGCCAATGCACGTTGTTTTAAAATGTTCATCCCATTTATCAACCTTTACCATTATTGTTCCTGGATTTTGACTGTAATTTACTTCTGCTCTCAGGTTATAAGGTGATTTTTTCCATGTGATTTTTTTCTAGTTCTCATATGGTTTTATTTCTCACATTTACCATTTATTTGTTGAGGCGATTTCCGACAGTGAGGGAAGGAGCTGATTTCAGCTTCTTCTGAGTTGCTAACCAGTTATCCCAACGTGATTTATTTAAAAGTCCATCTCTTTTCCACTGACTTAGGATATCATCCTAGCCATATGCCAAGTTGCTACATTCACTTGGATCTATTTCTTTCTTTGTTTTGTTCCAGGGGTCCATTTATCTGGTTGTGTGCTGCTGTTAGAGAGGCTTTATGACGTTTTAATGTCTAGGAGAGTTCAATACCCCTCCCCCACTTCCACCACCTATTATTGCTTTTCTCTTCCAAGCATCTCCTGGCCATTTCTGCTGGTTTCTTCTTGTACATGAATGTGAAAATCAACCTTATTTCTACTAAAAATATGTTCTTATCACATTTAAATTATCAACTAATTTAGGAAGACTTGGCTCCTTTATAACATAGGGGCAATTCTTTGTATCTGCCAGTTCCACATCCATGGGTCCCGCCAATGTGGAGTCAACCAACCACTGATCATAAATATTAAAAAAAAATTGTATCTGGTCCAGGCGCAGTGGCACACACCTATAATCCCAGTGGGTCAGCATTTACATTGCATTAGGTATTACAAGTCATTTGGAAATGATTTTAAACTCTGCCAGGCACTTGGCACCTGCCTATAATCTAGTAACACAAAAGGTTGAGGCAGGAGGATGCAAGTTCAACGCCAGCCTCAGCAACTTTGCAAGACCTGGTCTCAAAAAATAAAAAGGGTGGGGCAAGGCGTAGCTCAATGGGAGAGTGCCCTTGAGTTCAATCCCACTATAACATACACACAAAGTCTACAGGAGAATGTATGTAAATTCTAGGCAAATAATGATGCTATTTTATGAGAGAGACTTGGGTATCCAAGATTCTGACACCTGTGGGGAGTCTTGGAATCAGTCCCCTGGTGATATTGAAGGACAACTGCAAGTGTTCATAGACAGTCAGGAAATATGATATATGTGCTGATATGGAGTCATCTTTACTGAGTGAAGTCATGGGTAAATCATGTTTTTACCACTTGTATAAAAAAGGAGGAAAAGAATATCAGAGCCATAGTTGTTTGTACTATACACTCTAAGGTCATTCTAGCAGGAGGGCCAAGAGTAGATGTCCTCACTGCCTCCAGGAAGGGTGGATCTGGGTAGGTAGGATGGCAAGACCCAGTCTCTCATGTGCCTTGTGTGGCTCAGGAGCTCTGTGAACGTAATTGACTCAGCTCTCCGAAAAATAAGTACCCAGAACTTGAATTAAGTAAGAGACTAGGGAGGCCTGATATTTACCACACTCCTGGTCTCTGGGAGAACTGGTGCCCAGGGCCCCTTCCTCATCCAGTCCCCTTGGTTGGTGCCTAGGTGGGTCGGGCCCCCGACATTGTCATCGCGTTTGACTGTTCCATGCAGACCATGGTCCAGCGGGTGCTGCACCGGGGCCAGGTGGAGCGCAGGGCAGAAGACTGTGAAGTGGTCATGTTCCGTCACCTAGCAACCTATTACACCTTGTGTGAGCCTGTCTTGACCTTCTACCAACAGAAGAAACTGCTGCGAAATGTAGGTAACTCCCCACTGGTCAGTCACACATCCTAGGAGTGAGTCCAGTTTGACCAGCTCAGTGTCGCACTGGGGCTGGCCTTGGTTACCAGCATCCACCCTGGATCTTTCCTCCATTGAGCACAGGCTGTGTGGGGCACATAAATGTGTAACAGGCTCCAAAATATTGTGAAAAACCCCAGTGCCATTCCCTTGCATGCCCGGGGTCCCAGTTTACATGACCCACCTGGCTCCTGTACTTTTCACTCTAAGGAAGATGCAAGGACTCTGACCATGTGTGTCCTTGTCCCTGTCAGAAGCCTGAGAAATGTCACCTTCCCCTACCAGCCAAGGCTCAAGTTCAGCACCTCAAGGTCCACCTTTAGCTGGAATGGGATGGTCAGAGGGCCATTCTTGCATCACTTGTCCTCCTGGACTGGGCCAAGGGACAGAATTTCCCACCCTCATTCCTCTCTTGCTTTGTTGCTCGGCCTTGGGGGGTAGCACCTGGGCCTGCAAATCTGCTGGTGTCCCATGCTGATCTGAGGGTGGGGGGCAGTGTCCCTGCTGCAGGACTTACATCTGACCCTTGGGCTCCCCCTTTTCTAGATATCGGCAGAAGAAGCTCCAGAGAACATTTTTGCCAAGTGTTGCTCTGTCATTGAAAGTCTGTGGTGAGCCAGGAGGGGCTGGGGGCTTGGGCTTGCCGGCGCCTGAGACATCTACGAGGGACCCAGGTAGCCATGCCCTGAGCAAATCCTCCCTCCCAGGCCCTTTCAGTGGGGGTAGGTAGGTACCCATCATATCTGGTCAAGGGTGAGCTCCTGCTTGGTGTGGTCAGCCTGGCCAGTGGACCCAGGCTATTACATTTTGATTATGAAACCTGATTTGTGTGTATTAGTATTCAACCATAACCTCAGACCTGCCGGCTGTCCGCCTTAGGCCAGATAGGTTGAGTGGTTCCTGGTGCCCTCTGCCATCCAGCTGTCCCAGTGAGCAGTGGCACAAGCCAGACCTCTACCCCAGGCTCTGTCAGAACAGACCAAAGCCAGGCCCAGGACAAGCTGGGCCACTCCTGTGAGAGACACAGGTACAGCACAAGACCTTGTAGTGATGGTTGCATCCATGGGAACACTTGTCCCTGGAGGGTGCTTTGGTCCCCAAGTTCCCAGAGGGAAAAACAGGGACAGAAGACTGCCTGCCCTGCTAGGACTTAGCCACTGTCCCCTTTCCATAGGTGAAGGGCAGTCTTCAGGAACATACCCCACTCCCTTGGGTTAAACCTTGTTTCTCCTCAAACATAACTGCAGTCGACATGCAGTTTTTTCTTTTTAACAAAAAGCAGTTTATTTAACAAAAAGAAAAAAAAGGGGGGAAGGGGATAAGAAAGCACAGTGCACCTGCAAAAAACTATTTTATATTTTGGTTTTCTTAAAAAAACACACACAACACAAAGCTTGTAATTTCCAATCACCATTACCATTTTTTTTTAAACATCTATAAAGAACAAACATCTGCTTCAAAATCCTACAGGGAGGAGGGAGGAGAGAGGAGAGGGAGACAGACAGACAGCATCCAGCAGACACAGGGAGGTTTTGTTATCATTTATTTGTGAAGTTAAAAACGAGCGATAAAAAGTAAAAACTGCCATACAATTTTTTTTTTGTTTTGTTCTCATTTTGTTTTCAGTGTCAATCTCCTCTTGAACAGATGAAAAGACAAAAGACCAGACCAGTCCTGGGAGAGGGGGGGGGCGTGCGGCCGAGCTAAGGGAGGAAGAGGAGCGAGAGAAGGAGAGAGAGGCGGGGTGGGAGGGGTCCTGCAATACAACACCTGGTCCAAGGAATGTTCCAACTCTAACTAAAAAAAAAAAAAAAAAAAAAAAGAGAAAAAAGAAAAAAAAAGCAAGAATGACTGTTTTTTTTTTTCCTTTTTAAAAGTTTATTTTAAAAACAAGAGGGCCACCGGCAGTAGGGAGAAAATGATCACTTTACCCTCAGGCGGTTTCAGGAAGGCTGGGGGGGTATAGAGATTTATATATATATATTTATATATCATTTTATAGGTTTTGTTCTGCTYTTTGTTTTTAATTTTTAAAATTTCTTTTTGGCAGAGATTTAATTCTCGCTATCTTCTAAGGCTGGCTCAACGTGAAGTATCCCAATTTTGAAAGGAAGAGTATGAGACACACAGAAGGAGCGAGAGAGCGAGAGCCTGGCAGCCTGGCCGCCACCTCGGCCACTCACCGCGAGGGCTCCCCGGCACCCCCACGGCGGCCATCGCTCTAGCGCCAAACAAAWGAAATATAAAACAAACAAAAAGCCCCAAACAGAACAAAATGGAGAAAAAAAAATAAAGATTTTTCACAGATGAAGAAGTTCACATTCATTCGATTCATTGAGCCTGCGGAGAGGGAAGAGATAGGAATTGGTCACTACGGGGAGGGGGAGCAGGAACTGGGGGTGTCGAGGAGGCTGGAAAGGCTGGAACACCCACGCGGGGCGGGAGGGGCTGGGAAGCCGCTCCCAAATCTGCAGCTGGCTCAGGTGGAAGGGAGGGAGGACGGAGGTGAGTGAGTCTAGCCTCAAGGGACTCACTGGAGTCAAGACTGCTCCTTGATGGAGGAGAGAGGAGGACACGCAGCAAGAGAGAAGCAGAGGCAGAGAGGCGCAGGGCAGGGAGGAGCATGTCCTGTCTGAAGGAAGGAAGGAAGAGGGGGCGGGCTCCCGGCGCATCACAACATTAACAATCAGAGATCACGGTGTCCCCACAACACCCCTGTGAGGTAGGTTGGAAGGTGGCAACGATCGTCATGCCCACTTCACAGACAAGACCGGGACACAGAGGCGAGCGCGAGAGCGGAGGAGGCTGAACAGTACCCCTAACCCTCTCGGCGGGCTCCTGGCTCCCCTCATCCCCGCCAGAACCAGGGCTGCCTGCAACAGTCACTTGGACACAGGATAAAGATCTTGGCTTAAAAAAATAAAAGAATAAAAAGAACAAAAACCAAAAAAAAGTGATGCAGAGGGGGAAAAAATAGACATTTTCTTCCCAAATGGCCAGATTTTGAGTGAGTGGGTTAGCAGCCGGGATGGCGACCAACGCGGGTGCTGCTTGCTTGTCCCCCACCCCCAGGACTACCCACCAGTTCACAAGTTCCACCTTTGTGTGATTCGCGCTCCCCCAGCATCGCGACAGCGTTACACAGGAACAAGCAGCTGGCGGAGGGAGGCCTCTTCATTAACCTCTGGACCCAGCGTGCGCTTCCCGGCGGGCGCGTGGGCACTCCCGGAGACCTCTGCCACACGGCCCCGCTGCAGGCATCAAGGGCACACCCCGCAGGGGAAGGGGTTTCCGGCGCTACCCACTAAGGCAGGATGGACGGTGGCCGGGGGTTGGAAGGAGAAAGGAGGAGGAGGAGGGTGGCAATTCCCACTTGCCTGCTGCTGTCCCTGCTGGGTGGGAGGCGGCTGGGGGCCACCAGGACCTGGAGTCTGTCCGTAGTAAGCGGCCTGCTGTCTGTAATACTCTGCCCAGGCGGCACTGTAGTCTGGCTGGGATCCTGGGGGTGCTCCGGGACCCCCTCCGGTGGCCACTTGCGCTGGAGGTGGAGGAGGGTAAGTGGCTGTGGGAGAGCTAGGCACTTGTCCTCTACAGCCCCACCCAGCCCTCCAGTGCCAGCTCACCTTGCTTCTTGTAGTACTCCTCCCAGGCCTTCGTGTAGTCTTGCTGCGGGGGTGCTCCGGGCTGCTGGGGCTGTTGGCCTGTGGGGGCCAAGTGAGGTCAGAGGATGCCCTTCCTGGGTGGGCCTGGAACCACCCCAGCTGCACTACAGACTCACCTATCTTTTTGTAATACTCTTCCCAGGCCTTAGTGTAGTCCGATTGGCCAGTGGGTGGGGGCTGCGGAGGCTCCCCCTGAGTGGGCGGTGCTGCAGGAGCCGGGGCAGGGCCCGGAACAGGGCCTGGGGGCTGCTGGTAGTAGTGTGAGTAGTAGGCGGCCCAGGCGGCGTTGGGGTCTGCAGCTGCTGCAGCAGCCTTATCTGCAGGCAAAAGGGGAGTCCAGGATGAGGAAGGGGCACGGCAGCCTGGCCCCAGCCTCCCCTGTGCAGTATACCACTTACTTGGGTCATGAGGAGCAGGTGGTTGCCATTGGGGATAGGTATTGCCCCAGCCTTGGGGCGGGTACTGGTGAGGAGGGGGACCACCAGCACTGAAAGACAAGAGGGAATACAATGAGCTGAGGTGTGGTGGCCACAGCCATCATCATTGGGCAGGGATGCGTGCACGCAGTCAGCAGGTCAGAGGCCCTGACCACCACACTTAACAGGGCATGTGGGCAGAGCAGTCAACTAGCAACACAAAGGGCAAAGGACCCTAACAATCATGCTGGCTCAAGGACACGAAACAGAAGTCCTCAAGACTCAACACACACAGAACATCTGAGCACATACATGAGGAAGACGCCAAGGCCAGCAGTCATACTGCTTCTATGTGGCATCTATAAAACAGGCTGCATCAGGCCTGACAACGAGCATCTGAGATGTGGCAGCAGGCTTCTTAGTGGGAATGGAAATAGGGCCTGTCCTCTTCAGGCCAGCAACCCCATGCCCCCAAATCCCAAGAGTCTGAGAGGAATACTCACTGTGGGGGAGCCCCTGGTGGCCCCTGATTGAAGGGCCCAGGGTTGAAGGGCCCCATGGGGCCAGCAGGGCCTGGTCCCCCAGGGCCTGGTCCAACTGGGCAGAGGGGACCCTGAAAGGAAGAGGCAGGTGAGGTGATCGGTGGGTGGGGAGAATGGTATAGACCCACACTCTCAGATCCCTCCAGGAGCCCACCTCAATCTTTTCCTCAATGAGCTGCTTGGCATGGTCAATCTGCTGGGGTGAGCCCCGGATGATGAACAGTTTGAAGTTGGGGTCTCCATTGGGTGGCAGCTGCCGAGAGATCTCCACAAAGGCGCCTGTTTGTTGGTTTATGGCTTTCACATTCTCGCCGCCTCTGCCAATGACCAGCCCACATTTGTGGGTGGGAATGGAGAAGGTCATCTCCCCACCAGGAGGGCCCCAGCTGCCTTGGCCTCGTCCTCGGCCCCGGCCCCCGGGGGGCATGCCAGGGCCCCCAGGAGGACCCGGGGGACCACTCTGCCAGACAGGGAGGAGGAGGATGAACCAGGAAGTCTGCCTGGTTCTAAACTCTGCTGGGGTGGCCAGGTCAGCCTACTCCTGGCCCCCCCAGCCCACTCAGTATACTCCCAAGCCACCTACCCTGAGGCTCTGGAGGAGATCATTGATAATCCGGGCAGCATGCTCACATCTGTCTGGGGGACCCATGATGTGAGCGATTTTTTCAGGTCCCGTCCCGTCATCTGAGGCCAGCACCAAGAGAGCAGAGAGACTGATTTAAAAGAAAAGCAAAACTCCAAACCCCTGCAACATTGCCTCTCCAACATTGCAAACACTATGCCAAGCCAAACACCTGTGAAGTCTCTAAAGAGGGACCCCCAAATCCTGCTTCCTCTGGGACTGGGAAAGAGGAAGAACTACTCTCAGGGTAGAAGCTAGGGTGTCAGCTGAGTGGTTTTATAGTATAATCTCTTAAACAATAACAACAACAACAACAAAAACCCAAAAAACAATGGAGAGGGGGTCCCTCTGCCTATGTTGAGGTGTCAAAAGCTTAGGTTAGGGTAGTCATCTGACCTAGCGCCTGGGTACCCCCAGGCTGCCCTAGTGGATTTGATGTGTACAGGAAAACATTTCCCACGGAAAGACCACACCATGGCCAACTCTCACATGGCTGTTTCTAGAAGGGAAGAGGATAAGGCATGTCCTGATGGCTGGACCAGGAGCAAGAAGGCCCTCTCAAGGGCTAAAGCCTAACCACAGTGCCATGCTGCCTCAGGGTCTGCCTCCCAGGGAGGGCAACTGGCAGGCTTAGAGTGGGTGCAGGGGCATGACTGGTTGTCACAGGCCCCTAACTGATCCTAAGAGGAGGTGCCCGCCAACCCACCCACACCAATGGCAGACTCAGCCCTGACCTTGCTTGAACTGTATCCGCACACCAGCATCATTCTGAATCTTCTTGATCATTTCTCCACTCCGGCCAATGACTACCCCAACAGAATGCCTGGGCACAGGCACCTGGAAGAGCGGGAGGTACAGGGTCAGCCCAAGTCCATCTCTTGCAGCTATTGCCCTCTGCCTATCTCCTGGGGTAGTCTTGTACTCACATCAATTCCCCCACCAATCCGGGATCCATACTCATTTCGATCCCCAAAGCCTCCTTGGTCACGTTCTCGGAGGATGTCCATCACCATCTCACAAGCTTGCTGCAAACATAAGGGGCACAGACAGCATGGGCAAACCCTGTCACCCACAACACCTGTCCCCCAGGCTCCCAGTCATAGTGAAGGCCCCACAAGCCTCTGTGGAACCCAGCACAACACTCCGCAGAGCAATATCTGCCACCCTAGTGGGCAGGCACCACCCGCAGCTTCATCTTCCAGATAAGGAAACGGAAGGTCAAGTTGAGGCCACTTGTTGAAATAGCTCAGCACAAGAACAGGTCAAGGTTGACCTCAAAGCTGGTATTCTTGAAAACCTCTCCATGTTGCACTCACCTACACAAATTCCAAAGAATGCAGAACTGCCACCAGCCTGCCCGCCCTTATGCTCTCCAGAGCCCAGCACATCCCAGGGAATCCTCACCTGCACTTTATAAGGATCCCCAATGATACGGAGGGGCTTGTCCACATTCGTATTCTGGGAACCGTCCTGAATCAAGATCATCTTCACTCCAGCACGTTCCTTGACAACCAATGGTAACTGTTAGTGTGACTTTCTGGAGCTGGAGAAGGTGGGGAAGCCCCGTGCACAGGAGGGAACTGTGCTGCCTGTTCTTGGTGCTGCCCCTCACCTGTAGCTGCTTAATTGTCTCCCCGCCTTTGCCGATGACCAGGCCAGCCTTGCCTGCAGGGATCATGATCTCCTGCACAGTGCCATTCTGGCCCCCATTGGCATTGTCGTGGAACTGTCCTGGGGGACCCCCACGACCCCGAGACACAATGTCATCCAGCATCATCTTCGCTTTCCTGGGGAGGTGAAGAATAAGGTGCTGTCTCTTACAAATAAGGGAACTGGCCAGGTGCCCCACCCAGCTTAAAGGGGGTGGTGGGGGGAGT